AGTAATGGTAAAGATATTCCAATATTTTAGAACATAGTTAGCTTACTACCACCATAGACAGAAGCATTGCCCAGTAGATCAAATAATCCAAAATGATTAACCGTTCTGACATCTTTTTTGAAGGCAACAGCAACACCACCATCTATGCCCAGGCTATTACCTTGTGACTTATGTTGCATTGCATACACTGCATATCAGACCATCTTTCCTTTCAGAGGCAATAGGGCTAGGGGTACTTTGCAACCGAGGAAATTTATTTTCCGAGTAAAATTATGTTTTATTTTCCTGTGTTACAGTGTTTAGAACGTATCTGACAATATCCATTCTTTGCAAGTCTGGTCTAGTTATATTATAAAAAACAGACATGCAAATTATATTTTGGAGTCCTAGCAGACTTTTTTTTAAAAATCACATTAATCAAACTGAAGGGTAAAATATTTCATGGCATTCACTAGTAAATTGATGGACTTTTCTAAATTTCAGTTACAAATGTCAGTATCTGACAACTTCACCTATCTTCTGCCTCACCTAAGCCCTTATTAGGAACTATGAACTATATCAGCAGGTGCAGAACTGAATTCTAACACCAGTGTGATTGCCCAGAATATATTAATTTGAAGGCATACTTCTGTTCAAAGCATTATAATTTATCACTATATTTAATAAGCTAACAAAAGGTTAAGTGTATTAGTATTTCATTAGCTGTGGTCCAGCAGGCATCCCAAAAATGAGGCATGAACAAGAATGAGTGATGGTTCAAGTGAATGTTGAAAAGACTATGAAATGAGGTGAGATTCCTCATGGTTTGAAAATGAAAAACCTATATTGATATTTCTTTATAAGGGCAACTCACCAGAATGAGAGATGCCAATGATCTAAATATATGACATATGAAAATGTAAATCCATTTATGCCTTGATGAGTTAATGGGATGCATTTCATAACAAAGCAGTTAACTGAACAAAGCATAGTAAGAACCTATGCCTTTTTTTTTTATTAACTATACAAGTGTGGGGCAAGATTGAACTTGTTCTGTCCTCATCCAGACCACGACATCCTCTAGGCACCAAGAAAGGCCATCAATAGCATATCTCTTACAGTCAAGGCCCTGGGTAGTGCTATGAAGTTGGGTATTATCCACATACCGATGATACCACACTCTGAACTGGCCATTGTTAAAGTGATATAATTATCTGAGCTGCCCCCAAAAGTTTCAGAGCTAAATTATGGGGAAAAAAACCCCATTCACAACCTCCTACAACCATGGTTATATCATTCATTATCTAGTTTATATTATTGTTTTCTGGGAACCTAATCTGCAAAGATTCCCTACGTTCAACTAACAGCATGTACGGTAGTCCTCATTTAGCAATCACAACTGGTTGTAAAGTTACTTTTTCATCACTGTTGTAACTGTGAACAGTCACTAAACAAGGCAGTCGCTAAAGGACTACCTGTATGTCCCTTTTCTGAGACTATATAATCTAGGTACCAAATTCTTTGTATTAATGTCTTACTAGGCACCCAGAGGAGAATTTCCTAGAAGCAACTATGTCCTCAAAGGAATAACTGAACATTCATTTTGTCTTCACATTTCAACAAATAGCTAAGCCAACCAACCACTAGCACTAACAACATAAGCTGTTTTTCCATTGTTGATCTGCCTCACAAGTCTTGAAAAGAGTATTTTGATCAGTGTCAAGCCAAACAGGGCTTGCTACTGAAGTTTACATTTTTAAAGAGCATTGTTCCATTATGCCTCTGTATGAACTGCTGCTGTAATCAAGCTTTAGCAATATTAACTCTATAAGAATTTTCTGTACTATTGAATTTACATGAAATTTCTGCCCAAATAACAATTCCCAGCCTTTTCTCTAAGAATGCTTTTTGGAATATCCAGTTTGAGCAGGAATTGTGTTCAGAGTAGGATGGAATACTGGCTAGTCATAATGAACATTTTACTGACCTTGTTACTAACTGCATTCATGTGTAATATCAGAGTATAGCTAAAATTCATGCATTTCATTTAACAACTACTCCTGTGATTGTGAACTGCATTAATTAGCTTTGCTAGAGCCTGCTGAAGATTCTGAACAATGACACAGTAATAAATCTTGCTGGTGAAGACTTACTTCTCTTGGGTCAGCTGTTTAAAATTACAGATCTGCTCACTCAAATTTTATTAAACATGACCTCACTTCAATTATTTGGAGAAAGCAAAAGGTAGAAGTTGGAGATCGGTGCCTGTTCTTTTGAATTTACATGTTTTGAGGGTTATTTTATTCACAATAGCAGGCACTACAGAATTCTTTAGTTTTACATTCTTATGAAGGAGGACATTTTAACTACTTGAACAATTGTTCAGACTTCCTTGAAGTACACAGATGAAAAATATTTGACAACTATCAGCATCCTGTGTGAACCTGGAATGTGCAAAAGTGTTTTTTTTTTTAATGCAGTTTGGCTTTACCTACAATATAGTATGCAGATAGTGTCATAAATCTGATGTTGTGGTTTGCAACTGTACATAATTTTTTCACCTAGCTCAGGGTATTTCATTAATTCCTATTTTCAAAAGTACACAGAAAAAAAACCCTAAAAGCATCTGTACATTTCTAAAAGCTGTATGATCCTAATGATCAGCTTATTTGTTCCAATCAATTCTGAAATGCATTCAATTCCCCCCCCCCGCCCATGTGCTTAGCCTTCGGTAAGTCCCTCCAGATATCAGCAAGTCTCAATGGTGACTTGACATTGTGGGAATTGTAATGTAAAATATTTGGAGGAACTCAGTTTGGGGAAGGTGAGTTTAAACAATCAAGAGGAATTTGATAATGTACATCAGAGAAGATGAAATGTATTCAATTAAAAAAAAATACTGGAACTGATTTCCATTGTTAAATGAATGCTAAATTAAACACAAAGTTAGGTGCATGTCCCTTGTAAATTATTTTCCCCAGTGTATTGATTCCAATGGGATTTGATCAGGCCAAAGCACCTTTCAAGCAACACGTGAGAGATATGGCCCTGCAAAATGATCTTAGCCAGGTTCCACCATAGATTAATTCAGTAAACCCACAAAATAGTGTTGCTCCTGCACACTATCTCTACAATATTGTCCCCCCAAACAGCAGAAGAGTTTTTACTCCTGCTCACTCTAATGTCCTCCCCTCCGGCCTCTTGGAGGGAAGGTTCTATAACATACCAAAAGAGTTGTGGGTCTGTCCTCGTAGTGAGGGGGAAATTGAAACTGTGGGTCATGTGTTGCCACATTGCGATGTTATACAAGATATGTGTATTTCCCCATGTATAACACAATATCCAGGCAGACTGGAGGCTGATTACCTTAGTCTCTTGCTAGCTGACCAGGAGGTAGGCATTTCGGATAATGTCGCCTTGTTCTGTGTCAGGGCTATGATTAAACATAAACAATTCCTCCAAGTGAGGTGATGCTGAGCCTTAATTAGGCTTCCATAACTCAATATATTTTCTCTTCCTTTTTTCTCCTCCTTTTTTCTCTTCCTTTTAAATATATACATACCATTCTTTTTTATTTTGCTATTTCTTTGTCATAATTGGTTGGATCATAATGGTTTTAATCACAACAAACCCCAGCAGAGCTTCAGCAACTATTAGACTTCATATAAGTTAGCATAGCTTTACATTCTCATAGTGTTTTATAAATTCTAGTATTACCTATGTCCTTTTATAGCTATCCTAGTTATTTATAGCTTTTAGATTATTCATTGTAAAATTAATTGTAATTTTAAATCTCACATTTTAATTCCTGTACTCTGTAATTTTACGTTAATAATTTTATCTTTACTTTTATTCTGTCAACATGATTTTTTAATTTGTATGTCAATTTTAAGTAATTGTTATTAGTTCTACGCTGGTCTATGGCTAAAATAAAATTGATTGATAAATTATTTTGTAACATTTTCTATTAAGAAACTGCACTAAGGCTGCAATTCCACACCTTCCTGAGAGTATCATAAAGCACAATGTCACTTTTTCCGAGTAAACAATGCACAGAATCATGTTACCTGGTTCTTCTAATTCTATTATTTTCCCCCTTTAATATAAAAATGTCTTAACATAGTAAGACGGAAAGATATGCTTTAAGGGAGAGCTCCCTTGTTTGATTAACTCATAATTAGCTGTGTTTATGCTCAAAGAATGTTGATTGAACCCTCCCTGTATTCTCAGAGAAATCAAAGAAAAACACATATACTTGTGATTCTTTTCCTCCCAGAAAACTTCCTGTTGTAAAGTGAGAGACCAGTGGGAGAAAAGGCTGCCACGGTAAGTAGCAGGTGTACCTGAGCAGAACATTCTTGCATATTTAGTCATTAAGGACCAACCTGAAACCACCACTCCTGCCCGGGAATTTGCCCCTCTTCAGTAGTTTCCAGTGTTAAATTTGTTGGAATAGGAGGTCCCTGTCAGCCCTGTCCAAACTTCTGAAAGTGGTTATAGTTTGCTCATAATGGGCTTCAAAATTCCTTTCTGAAATTTCCACATACCTCAGTTCAATACTATTGATAATTCATATAATGCTTTAGAGTATTCAAAGCTGCTTTAATAAATACTCCATTTGATCAAATCATATAATAAATTTGGGAGTGCTATTATCTGTATGCTGGAGTGTATGCTTGGTGACAGTGGTATGCATAGATCAAATCATGGTTGAATTAAAGTCTGAATTATGAGACTTTCTGGATTGGAATTTAAAGTATCAAGCTACGGGGCACAGCAACTTTTATGAGAGCAACAAACTTCTTTATGCTGCTAGTAGCTGACTAAACTTGCTTGCATTATGTATAGAATTTTCAATGCAAAAAATAAAGCACAAAGGACTGAGGTAAATTTATTCCCTCTTTCACTCTATAAAGAGCAGTTCACTACTATATAGGAAGTATTTAGAAATGTAACATACTTGCAACCGATAGTTCATAAAATAGCCCCTATACTTGGATTGGAAAGATAAGACAGCTAAGTACTGAACAAGTAACAGTTTTATTCTTGAAAAATATAGCAACAATTTATACTTCAGTCACTTTTCTTTCATATATCACAATCATACTGGCAGGATTAAAAATACAGAAAGAACCTGCTAAACTACGTTATGCTCACAATATTGAACCCCTACTTTATTTCTTGCAAGAGCTGAAATTACTCCCAATTACATTTCTTCCAATATACAACTTACAAATTATGTCAGGATTAATAGGTATTTACATGTGTTTTTTGTTCTAGCATTTATTTATTCAGTATAAAAATAGGTGTACATACAGAAGATTTTAAATTATACCTAAATTTACAGTTGATGAAGGTGTCTAAATAGCAGCCTGCCAATATTTGCAAAATAAAATAAAAATAAATAAAAGTTTATGTCATGAAACGGATAGCTTTGAAAATTCATTTAGGCAAGGATCTGCTTTGTCTTGACCATCTTCCAGCAATTGACCTGATAGGTATCACACCTTTCCTTTCTCTGGAGAAAGAAAAGTCTTTATCCACATACACAAGAAAGAAAAATAAGGGGAAAAAAAAATCAGACCCTTCCTTCCTGTAGAGCCTTTCCAGCTTAGAGGCAAATGGGCAGAATTGCACGATACCACTGTTCCCAAGATAGCAGCATTAGCTTCTCATGATGCTACAGTAACAATACAGACCTGCCTTAGAATGTGGTTTAAAGATGCCAAACTTATTCAAACCATTCATAATGTAACAATTCATCAAAATGCATCATCTGAAACAAGATTTTATTACAATTGCTTGCTAAGGAATTGAGGTTGGTTGAGGCACCCAGCAGAATGAGGTAATAAAAGATTGTTCTATTTGAATGGCTGGACAAAAAATTAAAATCTTCCCATGTAAGAACATCAAGGAAACAAGTTCCATTTTCCTACTTGTTGTTTCTTCTCTTTACCCAAGAGAGCGCAAGAAACAAGATTTCTTCACTGATAAGGGAGAAATCCAAAGGTGTGTCTCCGTTATTGAAATGCCTCTGCCTGTAAACAAACTACCCCTACACAGCCCCACACTTGGAAGGCGTGCAGGAGGTCAGACAGAAGATCTGCTCCATAAGCGGATGCTGCTTGTTGTTCCATAGGTATTGCAGTTTGTTGATGTATTTAAAACATTTTAATACTACCTTTCAATATAAAATGTCCAGCCCAATCAGATCATTTATTCCTTTTCCTTATTCTGCAGCATCCATAACCCAGGCTTTAGCCAACAGAAGCATATGTTCAGTTGTAGCATCTTCAACTATTGTAAACAAAATGATAGGAAAAAAAAATCAAATGATAGGCATACATTCACACATATCCAAATGATCGATATTATACACCACTCTGCAACCAAGCTGCACATGAGACACGGATCTCAAGCCATCAATGTAATCATGGATTTTTGTAGAAGTTCACTAAATTGGTTTTACCTTCAACTGACAATTCTGATACTACAACCCAAATCCAGTTGAGGAATGTTAACCTGAGACGCCCACGGTACTAGAGATCTTCAATGTAACCTGGCGTGTTGGGCAACTTTAGTGTACCATCTACTCAGAAACAAAATAGCAATCTGTGTTCTACTGTAATGCCTCAAGAGATTACATTTGCTAGTAGGATTCAGCCTATACCTATATTCAAGGAGAGAGCCACAACACGGCAGGGTAGATTCAAGAGATGAACTGCACCTTCAAATATTGCATGCTTACACACAATAGTGTTATGTTTCTCTATGTTTTACCATCAGTAGCAACAGAATCCAAGTTGATCACAATTTTTAAATAATCAAGTTGAGCTATTTTGATCATATTCAAGCAACATATAATACTGCTTCTGGTAAAATAAAGAGTTGAGATAGTTATTTCTTTTACTGACACACTTGTACAACCACATTTTTCTTCTTCAAAGTTATAACCAAAGATGCATAACCAAAGTACTGTGAAAGCACTGTGGATTTGTATTCTCAAGTAAAATTGCCAAGGATGTTTCATTTACATGAGTAAATCAGGATTTCAGAGGCTATATATACAAATCTCAAAAATAAAATGTTGTATTGGTATATAAACCATATACTATGAAACCAAGAATAAATAATAGATCTTTTACTATTTACTATTTATAAATCAGCGTACTCTATCTATCTATCTATCTATCTATCTATCCATCCATCCATCCATCCATCCATCCATCCATCCATCCATCCATCCATGCTTCCCAACAATGTTTATTAACCAACTTTTAAGTGAGAAAATGCTATTAATTGCCACGCAGTTTCTTCATGATAGGGCTGTCAGGGGTAGCATTGGTAAATATGCTTCCAACTAGAACATGAGTTCCCCAGAGATTATGCCGAATAACTTTACAGCAGCCCAGGTCTTCTATAAGAAATCCTAACTGGCGATAACGTTCATCAGTTTCAAAAAGAGTGTTGTTTGTATAAGGGCCAAAGAACTGAAAGGAGAGAAAAAGAATGAAACATAGTATTATAATAGTTTATTTAATTAGTTAAATTCCTGCTTCATGTACTACCCTCTATTTCTGAGACATTATCTGCACGAGGCAAAGAATAGTTGATGTGCAATTATTATCAGCAATATTATGCTCCTAATTTCCACATTATCAAAACAGACTTAATGAATCAACAATATGTTGCAAAGACTGCTGCAGCCCATTCTAGAAAAGGGTGCCTAAACACAGTCAGCATTCACTAATAAAAGTTACAGAAGAAAAAATATGACATCTAGTAAAGGAATATAAAATATTCTAGTCTTTTTTCCCTTTCACATGATTTGGTTTTACACACAGAAATGTCATCCTGCATGATAACTAACAAAATATAAAGAATAATGACAGAGGAGAATCTCAAACACTAGCCCTTGTAATGCATCTCTATCCTGGTCTGAAAAGGAGCATGAATTTAGCATGCATGCAAACAAGCAACAGCCGCTGTGGCACAATCCCAGATTAGGGTGAGGGAAACCCAAGGTCATACATGACATTTGCTAGCTGACTGGGGCCTACTAGTCTCTTGCAATAACATACAGGTAGTCCTCGTTTAACAATGGTAATTGGGGCTGGAATTTCTGTCACTAAGTGATGCAGTTGTAAAGTGCAATGTCACATGACTGCATTGCTTAGCAATGGCAATCCCTGCAGTCCCCATTGCTCCTGTTAAGCAAGGATTGCAGGTCATTAAGTGAGGATCTAACGTGACTGCAACTTGTGACTTCCTGCCGGCTTCCCACAAGCAAAGTCAATGTAGAAACTGGCAGGAAGTTGTAAGTTACAGGTGGCTTGCAAGCAGGCAGGCAGACGGATAAGTACTATGGAGTGAAGCGGGGCAGGGGGTGCTATGGTGAGTGTGCGCAAGCTGGGGAAGGAGTGCTGCTGCGCCATGTATGTGTGGACTGGGAAGAGGGTGTTGTGGTGCCGCCTGAGAGTATGTCGGCTGGGGATACGGTGCTGCTAAGTGAGGTGCAAGTGAGGCTGGGCGGGGGAGGGGGTGCTGCAGCCCAAGCACATGCTACAGAGTAAGAGATCCCTGGGATCTCGTACTGCATAGTGGAGCTCCTCAGGAGAAAAAGTGGTGGGAGTGACTTGCAACCTTCCCTGCCAGCTTCCCCATTGACTTATGGGAAGCTGGCAGAGAAGGATGTAAATGGTGATCATATGACTGCAGGACGCTGCAACTGTCATAAGTGCGAGCTAGCTGCCAAACACCCAGATCACGATCACATGACCGCGGGGGTGCTGGGATGACCGGAACTTTGAGGCCACTTGTAAGTACCACTCATTCAGCACCGTTGTAACTTTGAATGGTTGCTGAACGAGTGGTTGTTAATCAAGGACTACCTGTACCTCAAAAGGCTCTTATATCACTAAGTGTAGAACAGGAAGAACTATGTGCACCAGTTTGAGCTCCTACAATGATAGGTAGGAAATACCATACTAACACACTTATTAAACAAAAATAATTTAGCCCATTAACGCCTTTAAGGGCAACCAGCAAGAACAAACAATTGATGGAGGATTTATACTCTATTGCTAGTTTGCCTAAGTCTGAACATGATTGGTTTTCCTCTTTTTACCATATTTCAACATAAATACTTACTGCTAATCCTGAAGTTGGGTCAATAAAATCTGCCCAATAGCCTTCGGAACACAAAGCATAGCAAATTTCCTTGGCACCGCTGATAAACTAAGAAGAGAGAAATGCAAAAAATGCAAAATACACTTTCTATGTCAAGTACGCATTCACTTCCCTGTACAAAATCAAAGTGCCAATGCTCAGAACGTCAGTTGATCGAACTGAATGACTTGACTTTCCTAACAGGATTAAAATTATTAACCTAGGATTTAGGAGGACATCTTTGTGGTAGTTAATAAAGGATTAATACTTAACAGGGTCTGGGTAATATAATTGCTTTGATTGGTCATTTGAAGTGTGATGTTAATTTTGCTCTTTTAATCTCACAACAATTAAAATTAAGGTAAAATAACTACACACCATCTATTTAATCTATTCTTTTGCCTTGATCAGAAAATAAAAATAATTATCTGGTCCACAATGATAGGGATGCTCTCTAAATCTTTATCAGGTAAATTAAACCAAATAAGCAAATAAACCCTAAGCTTAAATAAATTTCAGAATACATGCAGAAGTAATGTCTTACTCCCCAAGTGTATCAATTCAGAGAGAAGCCAAAACCAAAGGGCACGTATAACTATGTAGGAGATAACGGTGCTTCTCCCAAACTCCAAATAACATCCAATGTAAAACAGTATTTTAAAATTCAGCAGTGGCTTGAGCTATTTGTAAAGAACATTATTAAGGTTTTACCCAACACATCGATGATTACCTTTTGCACTGTGGTGTATGATATATTAAAATCAAGCCTAATAAAAGGAACATATACTTCAGGAAAAGCTGACAACATCTAGATGGCTTTCAAATATATGAATGGTTTATTAAACCAAATAAGAACAATTTGCCCATGTATGCATTACAAAAAATCATATCAAATCTCTAAACAAAATTTCCAGTTTTGTCTACTCCAGTAAAGGCTTAACTGGTTTCAGTGCTTCTCTTTTTTGCAGTGTCTGAAAAGAATCAATACTTGTACTTTGCCTTATTATGTGATATTAAGTTAAAAATAAATTTAAACTGACTCTCAAGCAAATTGCAAGATTAAAAAGATGAATGATCTGACTTTGAATCAACTGCTATGTGTTAAAGATGGAATGTTTGTCTTGGTTTTATCTGTAGTATCTAGAATCTATTAAATTATCAAGAACTCTGAATTTTTTCAAGCATGGGGTTAGCTAAGAGTTTATCATAGAACAGTGGAAAGAGCTGCCTATCAATATAAGAACTTCAGGTGGTCCTCACCTAACAACCACAATTGGGACCGGAATCTTGGTTGTTGAGTAGAGCGGTTATTAAGCGAGATGCCCACATGACTCTTTCACTCAACGACCGCAATCTGGGCACTCCCGGTTGTGGTTGTGAGAAGGCAGGGAGAAGTGAGGGCCTCAAACGAACCATGTTTGCTAGGGGAGAGCACTGTGCGCCATGGGGCAGCCTTGGGGGGGACGGCAGGAGGG